TTTTAGCCATGGTGACTTCGCTGCCTGCAGAAGGACTGAGGACATGGGCAGTGCCAAGGTGGACAAGGTATCAAGCTGAACTATATCGTAAACAGCATCTGTTGCCTGCGGATGTTGCTGGACGACAGAGAGACCTAAAGAGTGGGCCATTCTTTTGACTCTGGGGGAGCGACTTCTGGACTGTGGACGTCTGGGAGACAAAGCAGTAGCTTGTCTGTGGGCACTGTCCCTGTAATGTCGGTCGTCGATATCGACAGATTGAGTGTGCAGACGAGGAGGGTGACGCTGCGTGTCACATGAGGTATATCGGTGCCGACGTGGATCGACGTCGGGAGCTTCCGATACCGTCGATGTCGATGACGGAGAAGGAGACGGAGAATGCTCTGCATCCATCTGATGACTTAGGAGCGCTACGTTTTGATGTCGGAGTAAGGAGGCTCCATTTGGTGGACAGGGGAGTCCAATACATGGATGGCCGGTATCAGTGGAGGGACTTGGGCCTCCGATATCGATACTGCCGTTGGAGCGGAAGGCACTATCGGGGCATCACCCAGTGCAGGCACCGCTTCCTTCCCCTTCTTCGCCGCCTTAAGGGACTTGGAGGTGCCCTTCTTTGCGGACTTGAGCTCTATACTTAGCCTTCTTTTTGACTGGCGTGGAGGCGGACGATCCTGCCTTCGATGTCGGGAGCTTCGGTGTCGGGCGGTTGACATCGCAGGCAGGTCTCAATGCCGGAGCTGTCGATGTAGACGGTCTCTCCTCCATTGCTGAGGTAGGAGCAAGGGCCGATTCAAGCAGCGCCACTTTAAGGCGCGCAGCACGGTTCTTCCTCGTTTGGTTGGAGAAGTGAGCACAGTGACGACAGGACTCTGGCTTATGAGACTCTCCGAGGTAAAAAATGCAGAGCATATGACGGTCGGGAGGAGCAAGTTTGCTACCACAACGCTTGCATCTATTGAAAAATCCCCACTTTTTCTCCATAAAGAAGTGAAGTGGAGGGAACGGTTGGAGGTGGTGGTGGCCCAAAGGCCTGTGGTAAATTCCCCTCAGAAGAAAATAAAGGGGTTTTTTTTTGAATTTTGAAGAACAAACAACTAAAACAGAAAAAACAAACAGAAAAATAAAGTTTGGAAATACTTCCTAAAAGCTGTGAGGAAAAAGCGAACAGCGAACCAATCAGATCGACGAAGAAAGAGGTCTTTCCAACGCGGTGGTAAGAAAGGAACTGGGGGGCTATCTGCGTCCACCCCTCTGGGCATGCGCGGTGGGGTTCCTGCACATGCCCGAGGGACTGGGCGTGAAAATCCGTTGAAAGAGCTTGCTACAGCACTGATCGATCCAGCGCGTGCGCACTAGATCCCATGGGTGTGAAGCACAGAGACCACGTCGAAGATCTTAAGTTCCGCAAGGCCTTCTGCCAAACACCCACGACTCGGCCCTTGAAAAGTTCTCGGCAGCTCCTGTCGTTCCACACAATCAACCACCCCGCTTACCTCATTATCGGACTCCACCAGAACTTGGTCGTATTCACTCAGGGCGACTAAGAACATGATGGAGGTCACGTTTTCAAAGCAGTGGATCCATTTCCTCCGTTCTGACCTTTGGCCCCCGACATCCACCATTCTGAAGGGACAAAGGACGGCAAAGCTTGATGCAGTGCTTTCAGACAAACAAAAAACGCGACGCTCCCAGTTAAAGAAGAAGAGAGAAGAGAAGAGATTGGAATTATACCCTGCCCTTCACTACCCAAAGGTGTCTCAGAGTGGCTTACAAACTCCTTTCCCTTCCCCTCCCCACAACAGACACCCTGTGAGGTAGGTGGGGCTGAGAGAGCTCTGACAGAAACGGCCCTTTTTCAGGAACAGCTCTTATCAGAACTATGGCTTGCCCAAGGTCATTCAGCCAGGTGCAGGTGGAGAAGTGGGGAATCAAACCCGGCTCTCCCAGATTAGAGTCCGCACACTTAGCCACTACATCAAACTGGCAAGCCAGAGACCCCTTTATAGCCTATTTTATCTGCCTTTTTAAAAAAACTTAAAAGGTTAGAAGCACAGTGAGGAATGGATACAGGGGCCATTTCCAGGGACCTGGGGAAACACAGAACCGAAAGCATCTGCAGTGCTTATTATCCCCTCATTTTTGGAATGGCCTTTGATCGACTGACCCCTTCATTTACTCTCCCCCAGGAAGGAACATGTCATGAAGAACTCGCCTGTCAACTTATGGGAGGGGTCAAGGCCAGACTGGGAAGAACGGTCTCCCACGGGGCAGCAGAACAGTGAGGGAAGGACACTCGTGGCAGTGGCTTCCACGCCGCAGAGGGCACAGGAGAAGGGGTCTGAAGAGAAAGCCCCAAAGGGGTCAAGTATGTTTGGGATGCACTCAGGTGTTCAGACCCTGCTGCCAGCACATGCATGCACGGGGGGAAAGCCAGTCCACGCTGGTCCCAGTTTGGCAAGCATCATAGGCATAGCTGTCTTCCCACCCTGTTCCTCCAGTTCCGGGCGGGGGTGTGTGCACTTTTGCGAGCCATTGGACCAAGCAGCTCGAGTGCCGTCACACGAAGATGCACCGCGCAGACACTCTGGAACCATCCTACCACTTGATTGTGTCGACTGTCTAATCCTTCTCCTCAACTGCGCCAATGCAAGCAAGGGGGATGGCTGCAGGTGCGAACGCTTCCATGGGATCAGGATGGAAGTGTCAAGGAAAGGCTCCTGCCTAACTTGCTCGCTCACTTACTCTTTTCCTATGCGTAGCACGCACGCACGCACCCCAAACCTCAGGCAGCCGAGTCCAGGGAGTTGTCAACGAGTCCCTTTTGCTTTTGCTAAGTGTGTGAATTGCACAACAACAAGACGAGGGCTGAAGCGCCCCCGACGTAATCCACATTAAATCCTGACTGACCCGCAAGCGGGAAGGCAGAGAGCTTTGAGAGAACGGTCACTTTACTGTGCTTACTCAAATCAGACAGCGGAACGGCATCTCACTCAGTTATATCCAATGCTCCCTCTAAGCTGTGGAGTCTTGTGAGCAAAAATCCTACTTTGTGAGCCACTGGCATTACAGTTGTGAGCGAGCGATTTGGCTACTGCATACATTAGTCTGCTCTGGAGCCATCCTTTCTGAGCCAAGACGGAAATGTGTGAGCGAGAGGCTAAAATACTATGAGCTAGCTCACACTAACTCAAGCTTAGAGGGAACACTGGTTATATCTCCACCCTTCCTCCCAGAAGCTCAGGGAGCTGTGAACGGCTCTCCCTTCCTCTTCACAATCCTGAGAAGTGCTTTAAGCTGGGAGCATGACTGGCCCGAGATCTCCAGGGTGAGTGGAGATCCGAACACAAGTCTCTCCCAGCTGGAGGTTAGCAGTCCAACCATTGCAGCCCCCCCCCCACACACACACACGCAAACTACGCATACGGCAAAGGAAGCTACCTGAAGATAATGTTCTCTAAGTCAAAGGGGTACTCTATGATCCCAGTGGTTGGAACTCTGACCCGCAATACATCCTGCTGGGTGGGGAGGTAGCCTTGCATGGCGATACGATCCACGTCTGTGAGATAGCTGCGGGAAACAGGAAAAGAAAAAAGATGGAAGGTTTGAGCCTGGGAAAGAGCAAAGCTTTCATCTGATGCGTCAGGCTACAAGAGCTGAAGGCAGAAGGCTGCGTAGATCTCTCTGCTCTCCTTAGATTATTTCTGCTGGATACTGGCCTGGGTGGGCACAAATCCTGCTCAAGTGCCGAGAGTTCAGCAGCCTCAACCTCTTTCCCACTATTTTTGCCAGGAAGTCACAGCCGACTGACGGTGACTCTGCAGGGTTTCCAAAGGCAAGAGATGCTCGGAGCTGGCTGGCCGGGGCCCACCTCTGCACAGCAACCCTGGTTTTTCCTGGTGGTCTCCCATCCAAGCAGAAACCAGGGCTGAACGGCCCAGCTGAACTTCCGAGGTGAGACCAGCCTGGGCCATCCTGGTCAGGGCTCTCCAAGGTTACTATGCTTCATATTTAACATGGCAACGACTCCTACGGTGGCCCAAAGACTGCATTTTGCACTGTCTGCCATACCTGCAGGGGAGTAATCAGACCTTATCAAGTGTGGATGGGAGAGAGAAGGGGACTACTGGACAGCGAGATCCACTGAAGATCCCACGCCTCAAGCATACCTCCGGAAGTTTCCAGCTGCTATGGCATTTTCTATTGCACAAAGGTATGGACTTTATATTTCCAGGAGATCGATCAAAATGAGTAGCTGCGATGGTCTATAGCAATAGAAAACAGCAAGAGCCCAGCAGCACCTTCAAGACTAACAACATTTGTGGCAGGGGAGGAGCTTTTGTGAGTCATTGCTCGCTTCTTCAGATACGAAGAAGAAGTTAGCGGTGACTCACGAAAGCTCCTGCCCTGCCACAAATGTTGTTAGTCTTGAAGGTGCTCCTGGACTCTCGCTCTTTTCTCCTGCTACAGACTAACACGGCCCCCCATCTTGATCTACCTGAAGAAGTGAGCGGTGACTCACAAAAGCGCCTACCTGGCCACAAATATTGTTAGTCTTAACCTCCCCCCCACACACACAGTTAGAAAAGGGCACAATGGCACCCAGGAGACAGAATTAAATGAGATCTGAACACACTGGGAAAGTAGGTAGATGTGAACATGATGCAATTTAGCAAGGGTAAGTGCCGAATTCTACATCCGGGTAACAAAAATTAGGGACACGCAGACTTGATGGGAGATACACTTCTGGGTAGCAGTGTGTGTGAAGAAGATCTTGGGGTACAGGTGGACCGTTAAGTTAAACACAAGCAGCCAGTGTGACTGCAGCAACAAAAAAGGCTAATGAGATCTTGGGGTGCATCAACAGAGGCATAACATCCAAATCGTAAGATGTCATAGTTCCACTGTACACTGCATTGGTCAGGCCACCCCTGGAATCTTGTGTGCAGTTCTGGGGGCTTCACTTCAAAAAGGATGTGGACAGAATGGAGCGGGTGCAGAGGAGAGCGACGAGGATGATTGGGGGCCTGGAGACCAAGCCCTACAAGGAAAGGCTGAGGGACTTGGGAATGTTCAGTCTGGAGAAGAGGAGGTCGAGGGGGGGACATGATCGCTCTCTTGAAGTATTTGAAGGGCTGCCACTTACAGGAGGGCCGGGAGCTGTTCCTGTTGGCAGCAGAGGATAGGACTCACAATAGTGGGTTTAAATTAAGGGCAGGTAGGTACCGGCTGAATCTTAGGAATTTAATTTTTTTACAGTAAGACTAGTGCAACAGTGGAATCAGCTGCCTGGGGAGGTGGTGAGCTCCCCCTCACTGGCAGTCTTTAAGCAGCGGCTGGACAAACACTTGTCAGGGATGCTCTAGGTTGATCCTGCATTGAGCAGGAGCTTGGACTAGATGGCCTCTATGGACCCTTCCAACTCTGTGGTTCTATGATTCTATACTGGAAGCCTCTCATTTGGGAGTCTGGACTGAACACCCTTCAGTTCTCAGTGGGGAAAAAGGACCCCTTCACTTCCTGGTTATTCCCAGTATTTGAAATTTCACCTCGACGCTCGTCCACCCTGAAGGCTCAGGAAGATTTAGAAGCCTTTACAAGCCATTACCTTTTGCTACAACAAGACCTCCATTCTTTGAATGTGTAAAAACTGAAGAGGGTCCTACACAAACCAAAGGGCAGCAGCAAGGAAACTGCTTCTTATCTCCTTCAGACACTTTGTCAGAATCCCACAGCTGAAGCTGACGCTAAACCCACACTCCCCCCTCCCCCCCAGAAGTTCAGCAAGCAGCTGCCACTATAAGATGCTCCAGAGGCCACGTGTGCTTACTATTTTGCCGAGTCGGAGAGCTGGTATTCCCGCCGCCGGTCATAACACTCCTGGATTCCTGGGTCATTCCACAGTGTCTTAATTGCACTTATGTAGGGCTGCTCAAAGGTTGAAACCTTTTCTACATCCACTTCTCGGATCAGCAGTGCATTAGCCTTCAGTGTGGAGAGAGGAAGGGATGGTGGGGAGAGAAAGCAAGACGGGGTTAAGCTTCTTTCAAAACCTGGTTACACTTTCCTCCTGGTGGCAAAGACTTGGCCCTTCTCTCTCTCCTCTCTCTCTCTGCACTCCGTTGTGCTTCCCTCTGCTACTTCGAGTGACAGCTAGAAATCCAGATCTTCCACAGACTCTTTAGGGTTGCTGTTTTTTTTAAAAAAAAAAATCCAAGCAAGCGCGCCTACCTGTAAATGCGTTCTTTAAAAAGTAATTGCACACAAGCAAGCCACGCCTGGGGGTCAAATCTAAGCTGCACAGCCAACTCCCACTTTGGCACATCTTTGCCCCGAAGAGGAGTTTTAGGCCAGCATGGTTGAAGTGGTTAAGAGCGCCAGACTCTAATCTGGCGAGCCGGGTGTGATTTCCCCACTCCTCCTCCCCATGATGGCTGCTGAGCCTGGGCCAGTCCCACGCCTCTCAGAACTCTCTCGGCCCCACCTACCTCACGAGGCACCTGTTGCGGGGAGAAGAAGGGAAGGAGACTGAAACACTGGACCTTACCTAAAGGTTCTTTTCTCTTCAGTGGGGGCGAAGTCATCCAAATACTGGTTAGGTCATGCATCTGCTTGCTCAGGTAGGGCTATACAGATGTTTTGCATTGCTCCTACTGGGGAGACCTAGGCTGACTGGGAAGACCTATGGCTGGGAGAGCTGGACCATAAGGAAGGCTGAGCGCCATAGAATGGATGCTTTTGAATTATGGTGCTGGAGAAGACACCTGAGAGTCCCTTGAACTGCAAGGAGATCAAATCAGCCAATCCTAAAGGAAATCAACCCAGACTGTTCCCTGGAAGGCCAGATACTGAAGCTGAAGCTCAAATACTTTGGCCACCAAATGAGAAGGGAACACTCACCTGAGAAGACCCTGATGCTGGGAAAGACTGAAGGTAACAGAAGAAGGGGACGGTGAAGGAGGAGATGGTTAGACAGTGTTACCGATGGAACAAACATGAAATTGAGCAAACTCCAGAGGACTGCAGAAGACAGGAGGACCTGGCGTGATGTGGTCCACGGGGTAGCAAAGAGTCGGACTCAACTGTGTGACTGCACAACAACAACAGGCTGATTCTTCAGTCATGTCCAAGCCCTGCTGTTTATCTCTCTGAACTTTTCTGAGGACTCCTTCCATCCTTCCTCCCCTTTGCATTTGATCAGCAGCCTTTGTTTTCTTCTCTCTCCCTCTTTTACACATCTCCTTGTGTTTCCTTGCCTCAGTCTTCGCCACCCTTTGTCCCTTGTTGTCTTCCTTCTCTCTTCTTGGGTGGGATGCGGATGACTTCAACCACATCGAAGAGAAAGAACCATCAGGTGAGATCCAACGTTTCATTCTACTTCGGGGGGCGGGGGGGGGAGTCATTCCAGACTGGTCAGCTGTACCCAAGCTGTGTTTTCAGGTGGGCTCTCTTTTCGGTCTTTGCTGTTCTACCACTTGTTGCAGCACCCTCCTGCGGAAAGTTGCTTCCGCTGATACCACTTGATCTGTTCTGTAATGTCTGACGAAGGTGGAGGATGAAGCCCGGGTCACTGCTCTACAGATCTCAACTGTAGCCTTGGTGGAGAAAGCCACTGTGGCGGCCACTGCCCTGGTGAAGTGCGCAGAGATCGTACTTGGCGGTATCAGACCTTGCATCTCATATGCCTTAGCGATACGCAGTTTAACCCAATAGGTTATGATGGATTTTGGCCATGTTTTCTACCCCATGAGAAACAAACAGCGCATCTGTTTGCTTGAATCCAGTCATCCTGTCCAGGTAGATGCACAGGGCCCTGAGCATGTCCAGCTTATGCCATGCCCTCTCTTTTGGGTGCTCCGGATTTGAGAAGGACAGTAATGTAACCAGCTGGTTAAAGTGAAAGGAAGAGTTCATCTTCAGAACGAAGGATGGATCCGTTCACAGAGAGACAGAATCTGAAAGATGCAGAGCTCCTTTCTTGTGGCTAATGCCACCAATTCAGCCACTCTCTAGCCGATGTAACTGCTAGCAGGATGGCTGCCTTCCACAATAGGAACCTGAGTTCTGCTGACCTCGGTGGCTCGTATGGTGGTTTTGTGAGCGCATATAATACTGTGGGGTTAAGTTGCATTTGGGGAACCTCTGCTGAACAGGAGGGGCCAGCTGCCTCATCCCCATAATGAACCTCCTCCTCATGTGTTTGTCCATGGATATCCTTTGGAGTCTTCTGTGCCCCACACAGGAATTTAGGGCTGCCACCCGACACTTTAGTGTGCTCAGCCTGAGTCCTCTCTTCCAGCCTTCAAACAAGAATGTCACTATGTCCTTATACATTGGTCAAAGTGGGTCCAGCTCTCTGTCGGTGGCCCCTTTCTTAAATGCCAGCCAAGTGTGGTTGTAAATGTGTCATGTTGCCAGCCTTCTTGACTGCAGCGTGACTTCCACTATGTGTCTAGGGAAGCCTTGTGCCTCTTAAGTCTGTCCTTTCAATTTCCAAACTGTCGGCTGCAACCACACTGGGTCTGGGTGGTGTGCTGGTCCTGGTGAATGGGTCCTGGTCTGCATGGCAGGGGCCATGTCACCATGGTTGACATTTGTATCAGGTCCGAGAAACAAGGCCTCCTCGGCCAGTAGGGTGCCACAAAGACAATCTCTGTTCCCTCTTTCCCGACCCTGTTGAGCATTCTGCCTATCAGAGGTGACGGGGGAAACGCATAAATCAGGCCCTCTGGCCACGGGTGAGATAGCGCGTCCAGACCTTCGTGCCTGGCTCGTGGAACCTGTCCACTTGGCGGTTGTTCATTATTGCCAGCAGGTCCATTACCAGCCTTCTGAATCTTTGGGTAATCTAGTCAAACACCTCCTTGTTCAGGGACCATTCCCTTGAATCCAGGTCCTCTCTGCTTAGCCAATCTGCCCGCCGGTTGGCCTGGCCTTTGAGGTGCTCCCCTCTTAGAGTGGTGAGATGTCTCTCCGCCCATCTTCATAAGTGCCTTGCCTCCAGGAATAGAGATCTTGACCTGGTGCCCCCTGCCAATTTATGTGTGCCTTTGTCATCATGTTTGTCAGTGCAAATGAGGACATGGTGGTTCTGTATCTGTTGCTAGAAAGTCTTGAGTGCCGGTCTGACCACACAAAGCTCCAGCCAGTTGATGCTGTGGGCCGCCTCTGCCATGGACCACTTTCCTTGTGACACCATGTGTCTGCAGTGAGCTCCCCAGCCCCTCTTGCTTACGTCCATTGTTACAATGATCTGCTGTGACTGGGTGCAGCTGATCCCTCTGCTCAGATTTCTCTCTATTGTCCACTACTCCAGTTCCTTCTTCAGACCGTCTGTTATCGCGATCCGTCTGTGATTGCATCGTGAGATTTCCTTCTGGAAAGGTAAAAGAGTCCATTGAAAGGCCCTCATGGGGAATCGTGCCCAGGGCACCATGTCTATGATTGATATCGTCAGGCCCTGCACCGCAGCTAAGTGCAGGAGGTCGTGCTCTGGGTCCTGATGATGGTTATCAGGTCTATGATCTTTGGCTGCTTTTCCTCCAGCAGGAACACTTTGGCTGGGACTGTGTATATCCTGGCCCCCAGGTGCACTAGACCCCTTGTTGAGTCCAGCTGGCTTTTCTCGGTGGTGATGAGAAAGCTTTGTGCTCTCAGAAAGGTCTCTGCCCTCTCGGTGAAGCTTGAGGCAGAGTCCCTTGCTTGTATGAGTATGTCATCCAGGTAAGGGTGCATGTGAACCACCTTCAGGTGGAGCAATGCCACCAGTACCACCATAACCTTGTAAACATTTGGGGGCTGAGGAAAGGCCAAAAGGCAGGGCCCTGTATTGGAAATGCCAGCCCTGGTGGTAAAAATGGAGGAATGGCCAGGAGTCTGGCTGCACCACAATGTGCAGGTAGGCTTCCCTGAGGTCCATGGAGGTCAGGAAGTCTCCCTTCTGTACCACCTGTAGGATATGCTGCAGGAACTCCATTCGGAACTTCCTCCTCCACACCCATCTGTTGAGGCCTCTTAGGTTTAACACCGCTGTCCAGTCCCCTGACCTTTTTGGCACCACGAACAGGACGGAGTAAACTCCTCTGAACTGCTGGTTCGTGGGAACCCCCTCAACTACACCTACGACTTGGAGGTGTTGAATTGCCTGGAACCACTGTAGTCATCTGTTCTGCTGCCATGGCACTGGGGAGGGTGTGAAGCTCTGAGGTGGTGGAGGGATGAGCTCTATTTTGTAGCCGTGCGTGATGATTGACAGCACTCACTGGTCCTTGGTGACAAGCTCCAAGCCTCCATGAAAAGCTGGAGCCATCCCCCTATCATGTAGTCATGCAGATTGCTTTCTGATGGATGAATTCTTATCCTGTTTGAAGTTTATTGATTGTCTTGGATTGGTCCTGGGTCTGTATCTGAAGGATCTGAACCCTTTGTAACCTTTGGTGTCCCGACTGTGGTCTGTCATCCTGAAGCCACGAAAGGACTGGTGGGACCTGTTCTTAGTGTCCCTCTCTCTGCCATACAAAGACAAAGGCACGGCTTTCTTTTCTTTTGTTTCCACCAGCACCTTGTCCAGGTTTGATTCTCCAAACATGAGTCTGCCTGAGAACTTCTCCGTAGATAGCTTACTCTTGGATAGGGTGTCCGCCAAATGTTTCTGCGTACATTGATGTTTGCCACCTGTGCCCTTGCACAGAACTGAATATTGTCCTGTGAGGCACTGGATGCGAATTCCACCACCCTTTTTATCTTCAGTAGTGATCTCTTTAGTTCCAGCGGGCTGGCCTCTGGATTTTGCAAGAAGTTGTCGGACCAGATAACTACAGCCTTCATTAATTTTGACAGTACTGTCGCAGACCAAATTGCCGCAGACATGGCCTTGTGCACCTTCTTTAGTGCTGCTTCATTCTTCCTATCCATGGGCTACTTTAATGTGCTTCACCATCCTTGGGGGTAGCACAGCTCCCGAGTGCAATGCCACTACGGGTGTGTCCACTCAGGGTACCTTCAGGTTCTCCATGTAATCCTCTGTCAGTGCATAGAGCTTCTTGGCTATAGAGAGCAGGGAATTGCTGCTTCCTGATATGGCCCATTCAGCCTTCATCACGTAAAAGAAGTCAGGGAAGGGGACGACTGAGTCCTAGGCTGGTTTTATGAAACCTCTGCCGTCCAACATAGTTGATACTGATGACCTTGGCTTCTTTGTTACCTCTATCTGGTAATTTAGCGTGATGACCACCTTGTTCAAAAGTCTTTGGAAATGCTCAGTTTGGAAGAGTCTTGAGGATGTTGCCTGTACCTCTGCTTCCTCTCCCGATTATTCCCTTTCCTCCTTCTCAGAACTCTCCTCTAAGGATGTATTCACAGAAACTGATCAACCAGCTCTGAACCTGGTGATGGTGGATGCTCCCGTGTGTTCCCCATTGGCACCTGCCCATGTGTTGTGGTGTGGCCTATGTCTGCTGGAACGGGCCTCTTCCTCACCTGAGGCCTTCGATGCCTCTGAGTGATCCCTGTTCTCTGCTGGACAAGCATTTTTTAAGGGGGGCGAGATGCCGATGGTGAAGATGCATGAGAGCTGGTGGGGGAAGTGGAGCTCCCCCCCAATGTGGGATTTGTCTCACCATGTGGGCTCGCCGGCCCTTTGGCTCTTCCTTTCATTTTGAATTCGTCTTGTGAGTTGCTTTTTGTGGGGCCAGGCACGGCGAGGAGTGGGAGCCCGAAGGCTCAGATTGTTCGACCTGCACGGTGGCGTTGGCCACCTCCGAGTCGCCCTGCCTGGTGCCTCGTTGTGCCACGCTTGATGCCTTTGCCTCCCCACCTCCTGAAGCCTCGGGAGGAGTGTGACCAGGCTCTGTTGGTTCCTCCTCTACATGGTTCCTGGTCAGGAGGCTGCGTTCCATGGCCACCCCGCTGCCCGAAGCCGTGGGAGGTCTCTCTGGCTTTTCCCTCTTCTTCCTCATGGCATCCTGCTTCTTTGTTGCCACAGTGGCCACTCCACTCTGCATCAGCTCAAAGTCCATGGGAGACTTAGCCAGCTCCGGGATCCTGCTGTGGCCTGAGTTAGCCTCTGCTGGTGCTAACTGTCTGACTGTACTCAGCTTTTCCAACTTTCCTTCCCTTTCTACTTTTTCCCCCTTATATATCGGTCGGCTTGGAGATGACCACTAGCGCCCTACCGAGCCCAGGGCTATCATAAACTGGAGGGTCAGCCTAGGTCTCTCCAATAGGAGCCACGGAAAATTTTGCATAGCCCTACCTGAGCAAGAAGGGCCGTGACCTAAACAGTGCTGGATGACTCCCCCCCAAAAAGCTGCTTTGAGACTCCTTAAGTAGAGAAAAGCCAGGTATAAAAACCAACTCTTCTTCATATCAGCATGTACAACTGTCGGCAAAGCACCAATATAGTCCTGGTTGTGAAAAGAAGAAGAGAAGAAGAGATTGGATTTATACCCCGCCCTTCACTACCCAAAGAAGTCTCAGAGCGGCTTATACCCTGTGAGGTAGGTGGGGCTGAGAGAGCTCTGACAGAAACTGCTCTTTTTCAAGAACAGCTGTGCCAGAACTATGGCTTGCCCAAGGTCATCCAGCAGGTGCAAGTGGGGCAGTGGGAAATCGAACCCAGTTCTCCCAGATTAGAGTCCGCGCACTTAACCACTACATCAAACAGCAGGGTGCTGGCTCCTGGATGGTGTTCTCTTTGTGACGGGTGTCTCCCAAACATGCAAAGCCACCCGGTTTTGATTCTGCCAATGGTGGGACACGTATTTGCCAACTTTCTGTCCTGCTTTTCGGCTTAATCAAGGTCACCAAGGTAGGTAACAATTAAAACAGCACAACAAAATACACCGAAAGCCTGCCCTCAAACTCATCTGTGAAACAGAGAGCAATGAACTAAAACACGTGGCGGGAAGGAGAGATCACTGAGGGAAGGCTGGACAAAACACAAGGCAGAAGTCTTCACCTGCTGGCCGAAGAGAGTGACGGAAGGGGACAGACATACGGAACTGAGCTCACCTTGTTCTGTTCATACTTGTACAGGATCTTCAAGGTCTCCATGGCCCGGATCATTGACTGCATGGCAGTGAAGATGTTCTGGTACACCAGCTTGGTGAAACCCTTTTTGTCCTCCTCCGAGTAGCCTGAGCCATGGATTATCCGCATCTGTTTAATAAACGTGCTCTTCCCGCTCTCCCCTGTGCCTGGAGAGAGAAAGAGAGAAGGGGGTGGCAAGGAACACCAGAGGGCAACATGGACAGCCCAGGAGTCGCTGCGGCAGATAAGGACCCCCCCACCCCTCCTAAGCCGCAAGCAGCTGGGCCCACACACCCACTCGAGCCATGAGGAAAATATGAATATTTTAATAAAATAAATACTTGTAATGGTACAAGCACTTTGCTTCCGTACTGCTGGGGCTGCTGCATTAACAAGGATGGTTTTCTCTGCAGTGGTTCCAGGATGGGAAGAGAAGCTGCTACCTCCTATGTGGCCTTCCCTTCAGGAAGACAGTTACAGTCTACTCATAAACAGCGCTGCCAGTAGGGGGGTTGATTTGCTGTTCATTAGTGGCGGAAGCAGCATTTTCTGCACGCACGCCGAGCCAGACTAGAGCAGCGGTCCAGGAACAAGCACGGCCACTGAGAAGGCGTCTGCCTCAAATCTGATTCCTAGCTCCACACCAAGGCCTTACAAAAAGCACACACTAAAAAGCACACACCCTCCCCTCCCCCTCGTGGAAATCATGAAAATCTGAATGCTAATCATGCCATCTTGTTAAAGTGTTTAAATACTCATGCTGAATGTTTTAGTATGGAATTTTTGTAATTTTAACTGGTTTTAAAATTTGTATTGGGTTTTCTGTTGTTGTAAACCGCCCTGAGCCCCGTGTAAGCAGGGAAGGCAGTTAAGAAATTGAAATAAATAAATAAATATCAGGGCTGACGACAGACAAGAGGATTCTTAGCTAGTCAACTGACAAAGGGGATCGAGTTTCCCCGTTCACAAATCACCACCAATTTGATATAGATGCCATCTGAAGTGCTGGAAGCCACTGAGAGAAAGCTTTGCATTTGGTTTGAGCTAGGCTGGAGTTCAGGAAGAAAGCTGGGAAGCCCAGGTTCAAATTCCCAGTTGTGAAGCTCATTGGGTGACCCTTGGGCTAGTCCCTTCTGCTTGGCCCTGCCACAAACACACTCGCTGCGGATGCAGAAACGGAGGAGGCACGCCACCCTCAGAGAAAGGGAAGGGTGGAAATACGATAGGTATTTGCACACTGTTAAGACACGAGGCCCGAAATTCTCATTACAGCAACATGCTAGAAGCCAGTCTAGAGCTCACGGGCGGTTACCGACAGCCAAACAACAGCCGGCAGTAGCAGCTAAAATGTAAGCTGGGAGCTCCCCAGTTCAAAACTCGCCCTCACCAAGTATTATTATGGTATGGGAACGGATTTCCTAAGTACTAAGTTCAGGCGCTAGATATCGTCCCACCCCGCTCGCAGTGTCGGTCTCATGCAAATCCCTTTGACTGCCGTTAAGGGCTCTCACTCAAACCATGGGACTGCAGCTGCGATGTGCTTTCCATTTGCCAAACATCTAACAATGCCCCCCCAACCTCACCCTTCTCCCCTTTGCTCCCCTCATTCAATCAGCGTCCCCAAGGAGATGCAAGAAAAGCCCACCCCCCCTTCCTGCCCCTCCAGTTCGTGGCCTGCTATCTCCTCCCCTTGAATCCAGCAAACCTCTCCCTGCTGGCTCTGTCTTCTCCAGCCTCCGCACTCCCACCCTTACGCCAGGATTCGGCTACCAGGACGATTCGCTTCTCGGCCCTCACCCCAGCAGGGCCTGCTCATTCCCTTCCATGTCCAGCTTGCAGCCCCTCAGCATCCCCACCCTTCTTTCCCTCCCCCAGCCCCTCGAGACCTTCCCACCTTCTGCTCTTTGCTGGATGTTCTTCACTGACTTGGGGGGGGGGTCCTCTCTCTCTTTTACTGCCTTTTTGTTTTTTGCTATTATGTAACTTTTATTAGGCCTAGAGTTTAGAGTTGAATTTTTAATTAATTTTGTACTTGAAATGTCGCGAGCCACCTCCCGGGGGGGTGGGGGGGGTGTCTTTCTGGAGAAGCAGTTAAAATTCTGCCACCGCCCAGAAGCCTCGTGCCCTTTAAAATGATTCCCACTCCTCCTCCCTCCTGCCCCCTTCTTCTCCCTAGGGCAGCAGTTCTCAAACCAGAGCGCCATGAGGGCTCCCATTCTGATTAGAAGTGTCTGCAGACTCCCAAGCCTTGCCCAGGCGCATATTGCATGATGCCAGACACATCCAGCAGGACGCATCTGCCCGACGGAGGCTTCCGTCCTCATTTCCCCACTGCAGAGATGCGAGTCCAGTTGCACCTCAGAGACCGGCAAGAGTGTCCAAGCTGCCTTCGTCAGGCATGAGTAGAAACGGAGATCTCCGAGTCCTTTTATCCTGGTCGGAAGATGGGAGGGATGTTGCAAAGGACACAAAGGGTGCAAAATACACCTCCCACCTTCTGACTAGGGTAAAAGGACTCAGAGATCTACACTTCTATTCATGTCTGATGAAGAGAGCTTGGACTCTCAAAAGCTCATACCATGAAACGCTTGTTCCTCTCTAAGGTGCTACTAGAGTCGAATCTAACTGTTCTATTGCTAATCTAAACTCCAGTGGGGCACCTTTAGGATCAACAAAGTTTTATTCTAGGTATGAGCTTTCATGTGCATGCACACTTTTGCAAATTGCAGACCAACATGGCTACCCTCTGTAACTCACTACAGAGAGACTCTCTTCAGCGACATCGTAAACGGAAGTTGAGGAGACCCATGTTGCCTGTTTGTACATGGACCACTAGATCAAGTTTCAGCCGAGCACCCAGAAGTACCAGGGCCGCCGCATACTGTGCCAACATCTGAGGTGGCTCTTCGGGGAGTTCTGTGTAGAGTGCCATTACAACAGACTACCCACAAGCAGTGTTCCCTCTAAGCTGAGTTAGTGTGAGCTAGCTCACAGTTTTTTAGCCTCCAACTCACACATTTTTGTCTTAGCTCAGGAAGAATGGCTCCAGAGCAAACTAATTTATGCAGCAGCCAAATCGCTCGCTCACTTTAATGCCAGCAGCTCACAAAGTAGCATTTTTGCTCACAAGACTCCACAGCTTAGAGGGAACATTGCCCACAAGGTAACTGTAGCAAGGCTTCTCGGTAAAACACCACTTTATGTTGATGGCACTCTGTAAGACCAGCCTACAGACATTTTTGCTAGTTCGTGCTTTATTTTACTGCTGGACCCCAAGTGGAATGTGCCTGTCACCCTCATCCAGCAGACACTCCACTGGTTACTGATCAGCTACCTGATTCAGTTCAAGGTTCTGGTTATCACTGGCAAGGTCCTGAATGGCCTCGGAATCACATGCCTACAAGAACGCCTCTCTTGCTACGCTCTGCCACACGGCTTCACTCATCTGAACAAAGCCTTCTGAAGGTACCACTCGGCAAACGGGCAAGATCAGCAGGTGCCCATTCATGCTCATTCTCTGTGATGACCCCCATCTTGTGGGACGGCCTGCCTGAGGGGGTCAGGATGGCACCCACACTTCTGTCATTTTGCAGACGGTATGGAACAGAAACGTTCAGGAGGGCACGTTTCTAAAGGGATCGGAAATGCAGCGTGATGGAACAGCTCAGGAGATCACTTTTATAAGGGACAGGATCGTAACCTATCGCACTATGATATGGCACACTTTGTTTTTACTGCTCTCATTTTTTTGGGCCTGCATTATTTTTCAATTCCGAAGTCCTATTGCATTGCTTATGGAAAGGTCTGTACTGTCTTGTTTGAACTGACTTTTATATTTTGTAATCCACCCTTGAGACTCAGAAAGAAAGGCGAGACCGACGAAGGAAGTAAACAAATGAATTCTGGAGAAAGTTCCCACTCTCCTCCAAAGCCTGACAGTCTCTCCTTCGGCCAAGCTTCTGGGAGGCTCAGTGTGACAAGGATCTGCTCCCACCTCTTGATCAGGAGCAGAGCCACGCTCAGGTACACAGGAACCAAGGGGCACCTCCAGGTGTGACATCACAAACAAGACCCGGCATCTCCCAAGGGAATGTCAGCGGAAAGCAACAATCCCAGATGACGATCAAGGCCATCTGAAATTTGTGGACAAATCTAGCAAGTTTTTCTTCTCTCTACCTCCACCTCTCTAGCACCTGGGAAACAAGGATTTGCTGGCAATGATAACAGATGGCAGCTGTGTCCTTCCCATACACTTTGGCAATGCCTGCCATGCCCATAAAATATCGGTATAAAATACCAGTGAATTCTAGAACACAATCAGCCTTCCCCATTAGGCTAGACTGTATTTCCAAACTGCCTCTTAAAACATTGATGCTGGCTAATATCCTCTCTCTCTCTCTCTCTCTCCACACCATCCTCACATAAAACTGAATAATCGCTTAGTTGCCTGCATCCGCTTCCAAAGCTCCCAGGCACTTGGGAATTTCCCCCCACCCTTCTGGATAGACTGATCTGTCTCCTGGACTCAGGCTGGATTTTCTCTGAAGTAGAAGGAGCTCAGCAGACTACCAGGAAATGGTGCTCTCCGCTACTGCCAGCTTCATTGAGTACATTAAGCCAGGGGAAACTACTTCCTCTCTGGAAAGCACAGCAAAGGATTCTGGGATATTTCACACGACTTTACCAATCCTCAGGAGGAAGGGAGGCTTGTTCATCTGTCATGTAGAGCATTTTGACGATGGCACTCCAGATACAGACATCCAAACCCAGCCTACTATGCCTTCCTTTTCACTCCGAGTTTCTGATACGGTTTCTGATACTAGAGGAGAGATTAAAATCCAACTTCGATAGGTGTGCTTCTTTTTAACAACAGGACAGCTCAGTTGTCCACAGCTGCTCTGTCCTCCCCTTTGCTCAGTGAACCACAGGGCTCCGGAACAGATCTCTCTGGACAATGGTAACGTTTCAGGGATTTCCCCTACCTGTTAGCCGTTAGCTGCCTGCCTGGCACTGGGGAATCTAAACACAAACCTTGCTTCAGGAGATATTCATTGACCGTACACTAGCGAGGGGGGAGAGACCCATGCCGCACAAGTCCTCCCCTGTATCAAGGCAGAGAGGCAGGATGTATCCAACACAGCTAATTCTTGCATGCACACTCTAGTTC